GGGAGGTCGGGTGGAATCTGCACTCTGCACCACCCCTGATCATACTGCCCCGACGCCCTCCTTCCCTCCCTCCCTTCAATCCCAGTTTACCCATTGATTATTGATTATATAATCTTCAAGTAAAACACATTTTGTTTTTATCAATTATCAACACACTGTATTGTATCTCAAGAAAAGTCCACCACAGACAATGTTATAGCGTCAGTTTTACTAAAACTTTTATTCTCCATTTTGAGAGCCTGACTAGGGTATTTCAACCGATTGCACAGTGGCGTCGGTAGCCTAGATGTTAGGCTTCTACCAGACTCGTAATCGTGACATTGCAGGTTCAGGGGTTCGAACCTCAGCTCGGTCCGATCGTGTGTCCTTAGGAAAGGCACTATACACGAATGTCCCACTTGGCTCGGTCCTTTCGGAGACTGATGTTAAACTCGGAGGTCCCGTCTCTTTAATAATTTCCTAACAATGTTGATAGGGGCGTCAAACCCATACTATTTTTCACTTTGGTCCGTAGATATTTTGATTCCGGCCTGCGACTCGGACACACTTGCCCATGCCTGCTATAAAATATACATTTGTTAATATACGAACAATAAAGTCTTCCTTATAATTTGACGGACTTTTCTGGAAAACCCCCCTCTTGGAGCGCGGGATTGTTATGTCGTGTACACAAAACCTGTCTAAAACTAAAATTATCACGCGCCATCATTTTCACATATGTGTGTGGGGTTTTTTGGTCTTAAACAGCACGTACCGAGCCATAGAAGGATCGAAAGAAAGTAACGCGGAACGAGAGATAGACATTTACCCTGGGGGGGGGGGGTATATCAGTTTCGAGGTCTTTGCAACAATGAGGAATTCAGGCACAACGCAATATGTTAAATGTTTTCTCGAGGTTTGGAACAGGACAAAGGTCCGCATTGCAAGCTGATGTCTACATCATCATTATTAATATCCGTCGTTGGTAGAAGAAACAACAACCACTCGCGTGCGCATGGCTTGTATTACCGAAAGGGAAATGCTATGTTTTTATTGCAGGAACCCTGCACTATACCCTATCATTTCCTCGCTGAATGCATGGAGAAAAGGGAGGCAGGTTGTAATATCATAGTAACATGTGCGTGGGATACATTATCTCCACCCGTGATTATTGTTTTGCATTACGATAATAACCGTCTTTTATGTTGGTATTAGAAGGTGCACAATAAGGTTAATTTGGATAATTGTGAGACTAATGTAAATAGAGAGAAAAAATCCAAGTGTTAACGAATTGATGGTTCTTGATCAGTGAACAACGTGCAAACAGCGTCCATGGTACGCAGCTCAAGGCTGCTCAAGGCTGTGACCAGTGTGGCAGGTTATGCGCCACTAAGTGTGTTTTACCTCTTGTTTCCATTCGATCTAAGCCGGCGCCTGGAGTGATCAGAAGTGGTTAGATATTTCGCTGTTGAACGCAGGAGACCCGACTTCGTTTCCCGAGTGAGGAAAATTTGTAGGGAACATCACGGTCTTTTTGCTGGTATGTTGTATCCCTGTCAGCCCGAGTCGGCCCTGACAGGCTGGATCGGGAGCCCGCCTCCTAAATGATCTAAACTGGGTCAGTGGGGGAGGGGGTAAAATAACACCTCCACATTATAAAATATCACCCCCCCTCCCCCCAACAAACAACCAAAATGATCTAAAAAGTGTCGACGGGGGTATATACAAAACTCTATTACCCGCTACTACACCTGTCTTATGTGACATCTCAGAATTAAGTTCACTCGATCACTTTTACCTAACACCCACTCTGTGCCGCAAGGGAAAAGGATGGTAAAAGTAAACTTTAGCCTCCATTTTGAACTTGTGTGATGTGCTACTCAAACAGGAATCGCCATTCTCATGAGGAAGGCAG